GAGTCAACACCGCGCCAGAGGTTCAGACAGAACACAAACATACATAAAAAACATAAAGTGTTAGACAGGTTTAAAATAAGAATCGGTTGATGTTAGAGAATTTGAAACAAAGAGTCATATACCAATAAAAAATTATCTGGAAATTATAAGATTAAAATTATAAGAGGTTAATTAAAGCATTAATAGAAGTGTAATTGAAGTGTATATATATATATATATATATATATATATATATATATATATATATATATATATATATATATATATATATATATATATATATATATTGCAGAATGCATATATTGTAGAATGCTTTAAGAATTTAACTGATGAACAGATAATGTATATATAACATAAGCAATCATGAATAAATATTTCTGGCAGATTTTAAGTTGTGATAAGTTATTGAATTGACTGATGGTTGAATAGACTTAAGATTGAAGACATTCGCTAAGGTACACACAATTAAAACTTCTTTTTTGACAATCTCTGACAAAAAATAATGAATCACAAAGCAGACAATTAAAAAAAAAAAAAACTAATTTATGCCCATCAAGGCTGCAAGTCAGAAATTACCAGAAAACAATGAGACATTTAATCAAATACACATACGTTAATTTTAGATTTCCAAATACAAATTCAAATACAAAATAAATATAATTGGCATTTTCCAAATACAAATACAAATATTTGTATTTTAGGTTTAGAAAAAATCAGTGGCGTAGCAAGGGTTTATGCTGCTTTAGGTGGAATCTGATTTGCACCACCCCCATAAAAAAAAAAAAACAATTGCATTTATCAAAAAGCTTATCCAAATACAGAACTATTTATAACTTCATTTTTAATTGCAAAATATTAATTTTGTTACAACATTTTAAAAGTTTATCATTTTTGTTTTCTGTTAGCGAAGTTATCAATGAGGCTTACAAGGTCAATTTCATTACTTAGTTTCTGTTCAATAGATAGTATGTAGGGTGATGATACCCCTTAAATATGTTCTATGTAATAAATTTATAATAAATTAAAAATTTTTTTAAATAAAACTTTTTTTGAGGGGTATTTCAACCTTTAAACATCAGACGGGTCCCTAAAAAAAAAAAAAGTTCTTTAAAAGTATATCATGTTGAGTCTCAAAAGAAGTGAAATTTTATAAAAATTTCAAAAATAAAAAAAATTTATAATAAAATTTATAAAGTTTAGTTAAAAAACTATAAAAATGTGTACTTTTTTATTTTTTGTTAAAAAACAATAGTTTTTAAACTAGTAACCTTTATATAAAATGATTAATATTTTTGAAATTTTTATAAAATTACACTTCTTTTGAAAATTAACATAATATGCTTTTAAAGAACTTTTTTTTCTTCGAAATATTAGTGATGTCTGATGTTCAAGGACCTTGAGCAACCCCTAAAAAAATTTTTTATTTAAAATTTTTTTAAATTTAGTATTAATTTATTACATAGAACACATTTAGAGGGTATCATCAGACATTTTCAATTATTGTTTTATGGCACACCCTAATAGTATGGCAAGGTTTCTTTAACTCATTGTAGATCTAAGGTAACTTTTTATCAATTTTAGTTTTGAAAAACCTTCTCTCACAACTAGCCACATTTACAGCAATTGTAAGAAAAACTCAAAGCAGTTTAACATTAGGAACTGAGTTTTCAAGACTGTAATTTAGTATGAACTGCAAAAGTTCATACTAAATTAAATAAATCACAACAGTGGACCACCATCCATCCATATTTTCTTTTGCCTTGTGGTGCAGCAACAAAAACAAAACCTTTTAGTCTTTTCCTTTTAGTTGAAGGAATTCTTCTTTAATAATGTCATCATGGTTATGACCCATGAAATTTAAATTCATATTTATCTTTCAAAAGATTTGATGGAGTAAGAACAACATATTTTCCAGCAAGAGCATAAAGCTGTTCAAATCATGTAAAAATATCTTGGATAATTCTGTTGAGACAAAAAAAAAAAATCCATAAAAAAATCCAATGAGCTGAACATTTACACATTCACCCAATTTGCGATAATCCCGATTATCACAAATTTCTTTACTTTTCAAAAACAACTGCTATATTAATTAACTGATCTCTATTATCTGTTAAAAATAACTTTATAGCCTCTAATTTGATATAACATTGTATGTTCAATCTTTTTGTTAGAAGGTAGATCTGCGTATCATTTATTTTCCAAAGGACTCCCACAATCTGAGAAAGCACAAAAATGAAAATGATTGCAATACAATCAAATTAACTTCACAAGTTAATTGCAGTTAGTAACTTAATAAGTTGTGAAGTTAATAACTTCACAAGTTAATTGCAGTTAGTAACTTAATAAGTTGTGAAGTTAATAACTTCACAAGTTAAAAGCATTTACACAGCACAGATTTTTGAGTCATATTTTTTCACAAAACTTCATCTCTCTCTGCACTCCATCATGTTTCCATTATGCTCTTGACACTTTAACCAGTGACAGTCAGAGTCAAAAGGCCAAGTGAATAAAAAAAAGCAAATGCTACATAACATCCACTACATAAAATTTAACCAACTTTTTACAACTTTTGTAGTAACACATCATTTTTGATGTTTCAAGTAATTGAATATAATTTTCTCCATAACCACGTAGTTTAACATCTATATAAAATTGATTATTATGTGATGTTAGTTGATCATAGACTCTTTTTGGCATAACATCAACTTCAGCTTCAGTATCAATTTTTCCACGCACTAAATTATTATTAATTTTGAAAATTATCAGCTTCTTTTTTACAATTCATTTCACCAGATGATACAGATTCAACATGGTATTCAACAGCGCAATTTTTTTTGCATGTTTTTTGAGCTGCAGTCACCCAATGATTTTTTTTTACATTTGAGGCACATTTGACCAAATGCCAGACAGTTTTTTGGTTCATGTGTTCTATTTCATTCCTTGCACTGTCTTTGTTGAATTTAATTTGTTGAAAATAATTTGAACCATTATTTATTTGTTTCCAGTTTTGTTTATTTGATTCAACCTAACCTGTTTTGCTTTTTGATACATTTTTGTTATTAGCGAATTTTCTCCATTACGGTATTTTTCCGATTGTCAAATTTGCATGATTTGGCTGTATAAATTTTTTTACCTATTCAATGTCTTTTTCTTGTGTAATTGATTTATTTCTATATTTGCAACTTCTTTAGATCTGCATATGTTAATTGCTTTTGTAAAAGTTAAATCCACTCCTTTTTGGAGTAGACTGTTTTGGACTTTGTCAGATTTGATTTGGTCAATTATTTTGTATAATATAAGACCATTTTGAATATTTTCAAGTTCACATGTTTGATCCAGATTTTTTAAATCAGTCACAAAAAATCAAATGATTTATAGAGTTGTTCAAATCAAATGATTATATTTTTGTAAGAAAATCATTTTTCTTTCTAAAACCAGATTTCTTTTTAGTAATTTTTCAAACAATTTATTTACCGTAATGTCCTCTATTTCACCACACCATTTTCTATTTTATTTCAAGTCTATGTGTTAAAAATTTCTCTTCCTTTTTCACCGATAATCAATAAGAATGTTAAGTATTTTTCTTCAGATTTATTTGAGATTGCTGCTTTTAAATACAACTGCATAGTTTGTTTCCATTTTTTCCATGTAACAGCAATATTGGATTCAAACCCATTTTGCTTGACTTTGGTAATAAGTGTCCCCTTTTTTTTTCTTTTTATAAAGCACTTTCCAAAACCTTTTTGTAAAATTCTTCAGTCCGCTTCTGGTACCATATAATGTTTTGTCTTCTTATTTATTATAAGAATGAGAATTGCTTTATTATTTGTTTGATATTTATATATTAAATTCTATATATTAAATTGTTTTATATCTGTATTTTGAAATGTTACAACTAATTATTATATTAACTGTGTGTTGTCTTCTTATGTCGTTATTTCAACATTGAATTTAGCACTACAGCTTTTAAATGATAATTCCTCATGCAGAATTGGTCCCTTAGGGAATAGTTTAAAAATCATTTTCTGTGTCATTCTCCAAAAGGAATTACTTATTCTGCAATCGCTGATTGTTATTTTGAACCATTGTTAGAAATTATTGTCAAGAGAAAATGTTTGCATAACAACCATTACACTGTCAAACACCAATATTTAGTTTCTAATACCTGTTTTGACTTTTCTTTAGACTTCTTTATAAAATCTTCTCATTGACTTCTTAAAGACAAAAGACAAGCACAATTTGCAAAGTCGTTGCAGTTTGCAAAGTCGTTGAAAATAAAAATTAACGATATTATTTCGCATTATAATAACTAGTTTGATGCTTTTTAAATCAATTTTCAAGTATTGTGTTATGGTATTTGGGTAGGAATGCAAAACAGATAATAATTTTTGAAATAAATTTACACCACTAAAATAATGCTGCCCGAATCAGCCCACACCCATTGCTCCACCCTTCCTAAATCAATTGAAAAAATACAAAGGCTTATATTTTAATACAATATTGATAAAATGGTACTTAAGTCCTTAATACAAGAAGAAAGGAAGGAGGGGGGGGGATGGATAAAAGAGAGGGGATGGCAAAACAATTCTTTTAACAAATACCCCCTAAAAACAAATTTTAAATTTATTTTATTGAAAATGTTGAATACTTTATAATATCGATGTTTACAATAACTGAATATAAAAACTTAGTTTTAATTTTACTTTATAAATGTATATTATTTTACCGAATGTACTTGAACATTGAGCTTCCAGTACAAACATCTTCACATTTGAATGTTTGAACTTTTGACAGTTTTTAAAAATGATCAAGTTTGAACTTTTTTTCTTTAAAATTTCAAACATATAACATAATACATACAAAAATACACAAAATATTAAAATTGATGATTTAATGTTCATTTTTTAACAGTTTTTGACAAATTTTATATTATATAAGTATATACCTCAAATTTTTGTTAAAAATTTCAGGTATATACTTATATAATATAAAATTCTTACTTTATCAGTATCTCCCCAAATTAAAATAGATGGTATGTTTGATAACTTCCTCATGTCATCTGCTGTAAACTTTGCATTTTTGATGAAACCGTGATAAACTAAATCAATACTTTAATATTATAGTATTAACTTTGATAAAATGTATAACTTTTTTAAATATATAATTTTGTTTTATAATATTCTTTAACATTTAAATTTTTTAAATTTTAAAGTTAAAACTCAGATAATGTACAATATAAGAAACCTTGAAGATGAGATTCAGCCATTGAACATCGAAGAAGCCTTGCAGCATACATAAAATATGATGGTAAAAGACTTAGTTTTCCATTAGAGACAAAATCAATTAAATTGTTAACTTCTTCTTTATTCTTAGGTGAGCAAAACTTGTCTATATCAAGTTTTTCAGCTATTAAAACACCCAAAGGAGCCAACATTGATACAGACGCTGTATATTTAAATTTAAAAAGATTTAAAAAAAGTAAAATTATTGATAAATAGGATTATTACCTTTTTCTGAACCAATTATTTATCTTGAAATCAAACAAAAATTTGAAACAATTATTTTTTGTTGAAAATATGTCAAAGCGTTTTGATTTTTTTAGTGTTTTATTAATAGTAGTTATATATATAATATCATGAAAAGCCAAAACACAGAAATTTGAAAAATTGTTTAAATGTTTTAAACCTCAAAAACATAGTTTAATGTAAGTTACTATCTTTCAGGTCAGTAATATCTAGAAAAAAAAAAGTACAAAACTCATACTCAAGATTACACAAAACAGTGCAAAGTTACTGGAAATGTTAGACTATCCTGGAGTGTATTAGACAACATATCAATGCCATAAAAGAGCAGTTAAACAAGATAAATAATCAGTTAACAAATAAAAACAACTTTTTAACAAGTTAAAGAAGTAAAAACTATAATCATCATCATCATTATCACTATTGCTGTCATCATTGTCATCACCTTGATCATGATCATTGTCATCATCACCTTGATCATGATCTTGATCGCCATCATCGTCACCTTGATCAATATGATTATCGTCATCATCATCATTTTGATTAATATTATGATTATCGAGATCATCACCTTAATTGTGATCATGATCATCATCATTATGAAAATAACAATAATTTATTAGATAAATTAATACCGCATTCTTGAGGATATTTTATTGCATAGTGAACAGCAATATATCCACCTGTTGAATGACCAACAACATGAAGCTTCCTACCAGTTAGGCCAACTTTTTTTACAAACTATAATTTAACAACAATAACAAAATGAAATAATTATTTAGCTCGAAAAAACTCTGCGGTAGTAAGTAAAATTGAAAACAAAGTAAATAAAAGTAATTAACTTGTAAACTTATTTCTAAAAATTAAACTAAAAGTAATATTCGAAAGAATATTACTTTTATTTTACTGGAATAAATCTTAATCAATTTTGTATATATCAATACTTTATTTTAAATGTAAGTAATTTTAAATATAACAGCGCTCCAAATAACTGCCGATGATCGGCTATTTTTGAAAAATTCAAGGGAGAATAACCTGTTTTTGTGATTTGATCGGCAAGCTTTGAAAAACTATTTTGAGTGCTGATATAAATATAAATTTAATTGTATAATTTATATAATATAATACAAACTTAATTTAAAATATAATAACATAACATAGTATAAAAAAATAATGATATAAAATATTCAAAATAAATAAAAAAACTTAATTTACAAAAAAAGAAAAAAAAAATTTAAATTTTATTTTAAATTTAAATATAAATTAAAAAAAAAAAATTTGCATTTTATAAAGATTTAAAATTTTGCCTACTTTACTTTATTATAAACATTATAAATGGACGAGAGCATAAAAAGCTAAAAAATAAATTTAATTTACGCAGCTTAACTGCAGGATAACCATAAAACATGTTGATAAAAAGTAATAAGCAAACCAAAACAAAAGAAATAAAGCATTAAAAAATGGTTTAAGAAAAGCAGGAACATGCGTAATTTTGCATCGTACAAATTAAAATTTATACTACGCATGCTCACATGATTTATTTTTCCATTCCTGTAGAATAAAAAATGCATGAAAACTGACTTGAGTAAATTGAATTTAAAAACTTAATCTTGTTTACTCTTTTTCAGAGAAAAAGATTAAAATTAGTAAATTTAATTTGATAATATATAAGTATTATATAAAATGTTTGTTTTTTTGAAATCAGGAATTTATTGTACAAGAAAGAATAAACAAACTTTATTGCATAAAAGTTTGTAATATTAATTTGACTGCAGACAGAAGATGTGAGTTTACTGAATAACAAGATTTAGTTGAGCAGCGACCATAATAGTATTTGTATAAAGTGAAAGAGATACAACCTTACAATGATGGGTCAATGGCTCAAACTTAGCACATAAAGCAGGTCCAGCTACATTTACAATACAATTTTCAACCTTGTCTTGAAGAATAAGGGCATCATTAGAAGAACCAGCCCAAATATAAAAACAGTTTTCTATCATATGTTAAGGTAAAAAATAAAATTGGGAGTAAGGAAATGGTGAGCACAATAATGAGGCAACCTTAGCAGATATGCATAGCAACCATACAAAACATAGAAAATTACGTTGGATTTTATATATGGTTTTAATAAATTAAATTAAGTTTAAATTAGGATTTGTACCTAAGTAACTTTATTTAGTATAATTAAGGTACTAAACTTGTTATATATGGCATGCGCTGCCAAAAAAGTAAAGTAAAATATACTAAGCCAAAAAAATACCATTCGAACAAAGTTCACTGCTTCATCAAGTTTAACTAATCTTTCTACTTTAGCAGAACTTCCATGATTAAGCCAATCAATAGCAATAACATGATATGAGCTGTCAAATTTTTTCCCAACTTTTAAGTAGCCAATGTATGTTGCTGAGAATCCATGAAGTAACAATATTGTTTTTTTAGTTTTTTCTGCATTGCCTTTTTCAATATATACACAATGTTGACCATTTTCCAGAGTAACGGACTTTTGTTGGAATGGAGAAAGCAAAACAAACAATCTAAAAAATATGAAACAAACTGTTAAGACAATTCAATTTCAATTCAACTTTGGTTAAACAGAATATTGTCTATTACTACATAATTTTTATTTTGATACTTTGGTAAAGTTAAGTGAAATGATAAAAGCGGTACAATTATCATTTGTTTTTTTCTAAAAATAATGGAAAGGCAAGTATAGAAAATAAAAAAGATGCATCTTTAAAAAAGTTTAAGAAAACACTTTTTTCTAAAGTAAATTTGTAAGCAAACTGTTTTTACACATTTGAACTCAATTCCTTAGTAATTTAATAACTTGTTTGGCTGCCACAGGCTTTCATTACCTTATGGAGCCTGTTTTTCAAGTAAAACAGGCTCCATAAGGTAATGAAAGATGATTTTTTCTTTCCTGATGTTAACCTATTCTGGTTATAAGTGATATCACAATGAAAACTTTTAGTTTTCATTGTGATATCACTTATAACCAGAATAGGTTAACATCAGGAAGGTAACCTATATGGTTACCTATAAACGATTACCTATAAACCTATATGGAAACCTATAAAGGATTCAATAATCTTTCAGCGCTGCAGTGATTTTGTCTTCCATAATTAGTTTGGCAAATATTCTAGATCTATTGTCCATAGATCTTTTACTTTGGAGTTTACAATCTTTTTTTTGTATATTTCGAACCTTGTTAAACAATAAACTAGTACCTCCTTTCTTCCAAATGTCGATCCCACAAGTTAAACATGTATGTTAATTGGACTTTGATTTGGCGGAGAGTTTTTGCAAAAGAAGACTCGACAAAATCATTGTAATTTTTAAAGCAATTAAATTTAAATTAGAAGTGGAGTTAAACTTTCTTAACCAAAAGGTTAGCTCTTTTATAAAATCTTTACCTGCTTTTCCATATGGAATGTTGAAAATATTTCTTCAGTAATTTACAATCTCATCATAGGTAGAATCAACAAACAATTTAAATTGTTGTTATGAGTATACTCCCACATGACATTGTTATTAGGATTTGGTAGATGGTTCATTATTTCAGGTAAAAAGGGAACATTTTTTAAATTCTCATTAAATGAATGATTTGTTATTTGAGAAGGTTATAACATCACATAAAGTTTTCTGCAAACTATATGTGATGTTATTTTCTGCAAACTATATGTGATGTAAACTTAGGATGTCATTTATAAAGAAGACATTATACTTATGGTGTCATTTTTCTAGAATACGTAGGTGTTGATGTGTAGCCCTTTTTTGATTAAATGCTAAGTTGTTAGACGAAGTGAACGGTATTATAATATCGTTTTGTTTTGTAATTGAGGGTATTACTCTAGTATTTGGTTCGAGTGTTAAAAAAGTATTAGTTTTTTGTAGACTGAGTTTTAGCAAACGATTCTTTTTGCATTTTAGAATATGATAATCTATTCTTTATATTATTTTAAGCTCTACTTTACAGTAAGGGCACACATGAGTTGTAGTCGTATTGTAGCTGTTCATTGTACTTGATAAAAAAAGTTTTTGATTTTTAATTTAAAAAAAAAATTTTGTTTAACTAGATATTTTGATTACTGCGAAGAAAGAAGATTAAATGTTTTCATACTAAATGATATTATGGGTGAACAGCTAACTAATTTTTACTGTTGGTTGCACACTAGTTTTTTAATAAACAAATTCAAAAGTCGAAAAACAAAAGTCTAGTAAACCCCTTCGTCAGTGAAACACGGAAACAAGATTTAATATAAAAACTGACGAATTTCTTTAAGTTTAATAATGTTAGAACGATTTTTGTTATGATAAAATTTAATGCTTTTTTTTTCCTTTCCCTTTTTATTTATTTATTGGTTATAGCAAACAAAAATTTTTTTGTACTACAAATCGTAGATTAATGTTGCAGTAAAAATACTAATTTTGATTGCGGTAAGCTACGTGGTGGAAGGTAAAAATTCTGATTGAAAAGTTTAGATCTAAAACTCAACTGCAGTCATTGCACAAATTTTAAACACTGCAAACAATATTATGCCATAAATAAACAATTTTTGATAAATTAACGAATTGAAACAAATAAAAGATTTGAATTTATAAACCTACTGCAGGTGGTATCAGATACAATATTTTTAGAAGCTGCCAACAATGTTTTGCTGTATATATACGACTTTAAATAAAAGTCGTATATTAAAGTTTAATAAGACTTTTATTCCATCTAATATTCCTATACTTTTATTCCATTTAATCATATATCAAACTTTTTGAACTATGATTTAAACTATTGTTTATGAAGAAAAATTTAAAGATTTATATTCGTAACAATTCGTTTTTATCATGTTTTGAGCCCAAATTTTTCTTAAATCGCCAACAAGTGCTCCAAACTCTCTTAAATCACAAACAGCACGTGTTCTCTTCTCTTCATTACACAATATTGAAAAATGCGCGCGCACTCAAACTTGCGAAACCTAAAGTCACAACCGTGAAATTAGGTGTCTAATGATAGAACCGAATTTGTAAAAATGTTCTAGAACCGAATTGTCTAAAAACTGCTTAGAATCGATAAAAATATTACTAATTTCTAAAATCGAATTTTTAGAACATAGAATGACACGATCGAATATCGATTTTTTTAAAATCGATTTTTTTTACTATTGTAATTTTAATGCTTTTGTGATGCAGTTAAAAGACGGCATAATTTTTTCAAACTGGTTTTTGTGTTAAAGGTTAAAGTGTACATAATCCTGCTTAAAAAGGTTTTTACTATTTTCGAAAATAATATATTTATTTGTTTTAAAATTTTATGTAAACATAAAAAATCCAACGAATGCATGTGAAAATGTACACAGCTTTGTTAAATTAAAAATAGCAAAATGGAATACAGAAAAATTGAAGGTGACAAACGGAAACATTTGTGAATGTTGCAGGGGACTTTAGCTACATCAAAAACAAGAAAAACAATGGTTTTGTGTATCTCAAGTGTAATTTAATTTACTTGAGACAATGCATGGTCATACTTGTGGAACTAGGCTCCAAAATTTTGATCACCTTCCAGCTCTTGAGAAAATCCAAGACATGGCTTCAACTACACAGCTACCTTTGCGTGAAATCTACAACAGTTTAATCCAGTCCTCAAATGAAGGTCTCAAGGCTGCACTTACTTTCAGAAAGTGTAAACAAATTCTACAGAGTGCCCGAAGATGTCGCTACAGCACAAACCCTAAATCTCCAAATGAAGCTGTTCTAAACATGTTGCAACTAGTGCTTCCAATACCGATACCATTTTTCAATACCGGTACTAAATAATTACAATACCGGTAATACCGGTATAATACCGGTATTAAACTTTATTTTTAAATTCATAATCATAATCTAAATAAAATCTCAAGTTAATAGTAAAAATTTTATTGATTCAATCAGCTTATTTATTTTATATCAAAACTACTGACTTTTTCATTTTTCGCTTTTTTCTGCTTTGTAAAATGAGCCCGTAAAAAACATAGGGCGTTCAGAACATCATCTTCAAAAGATCATCTAATTTTGTTGGCTTCACAGTTTTCAAGTAATGGTAGGAATTTTGCAAATATATACAACGATTTCCTCCTTCTTCAAAAATTCCTATTTCAATACATATAATTTTTGATGAATTATTCGAAACATTCAATTTTCTCTTGTTGTTACATTTCTTATTTTTCAAAATTGCAAAGTCAAGCTTTTTTTTCAATGACAAGTTTACAGCGTTGTCCACAGAATCACTATCGGAAAAAACGCTGGTGAAAAGGAGAGGACTATACCCTTTCTGATTGAGCCGATTTTTCAGTCGAGTAATGGTATTTACAATGGCTGATTTTGCTATGGTGCTCAAAAGATAGAGCTAGATCCAAATTCTTGTAACGTTGATGTCTCTTGTGCAAAAAACGTTGTATGCTGGAAAAAGAGTACGTTGCTCATTGAATTGTTGCACCAACATAACTTTACAGCTAAATCGATTTCTCAAAGGTTATCTATCATGAAAATGTTGTATCGGCACACAACAGAGTTGCATGATTTTGGCACAATGTTTCTACAGCCAGTTTTACTGGCGCAAGACATAAGTTAACAGCTAATATTGCATCGGACTCATTATTAGTTACCTCAACTTTGGACTCAAGGGCAAAAAGTGAATCGTGAATGCATTTTTTTAATTATACAAAACGTTCGAGTACTGTGTGCAAGCTAACCCAGCTAGTTTTGGATCTAAGTATTAGTGAAATATCTTTATCAAATTTTTCTAACGTGTGTTTTTGAATTTTGATCATTTTTTGTCGGAGAACGGCGAAATAAAAATTTCACAACGGTGCGCACCTTTTTGATTAACGGCTGCAAATCATCAGTCAGTTCAATAGAGTCATTCTCTTCACTCATTACAACTTGAAACCCGCCGGAAAAGTCTTCATCATTATTGGTTATGTTTGTGTCATCAGTATTTCCTCGTCACTTTCTCTGTTATTGCATATTTCTTTCAAGTTTTTTTTGCAGAAATTGACGATTTTTTTGTACAAAATATCTTGAATACCTAATTGAATCCCATGCCTAATGCACAACTGTTGATCACAGTCACTTAAACGCCCCACTTTCTACATTACCGAAACTTTTCATATTTACGTTAGTGCAAAATTCAAACATGCGTTCTACATTAAAGCGAGTGACGTAATGATAATATTTTAAATTGGTGCTTCATTATTTAATGAAAACACGAATGTAAATGGAATACTTAAAACTTCCAGTCATGATCAAACAACGCTTCCGGTAAGAAAAAGATAGCTAGATGACAAAAGACGTGTTTAAATTGTCTAAAACAAGTATTCTACGTATTTTATACGTCTTAAACGCTAGCTGTTCGCTGGCTAGTTGCTAGCTCATTTCCTACCAAACCTAGTGGGAAATGAGCTGGCAACTAGATATTAAGTATAAAGTACGTAGAATACTTGTTTTAGACAATTTAAACACGTCTTTTCTCATCTAGCTATCTTTTTCCTACCGGAAGCGTTGT